TTTTTTTTTTTTTTTTTTTTTGCTTTTTCCTTACTTTCGTTCCGTAATTCCTGCCAAGTCCACCTAGGCTAGGTGCTGGGTCATCACCATTTTATGAGGGTCACAGAATGATGCCTGTGAACCCCAGAACCATCTGGCTTCCTGTCAGTAACTGAATCACCCTGAATTAACCTGTACAGCCAGAGGATGTACTCACTAGGCCCTCAATTTCCTGGTCTGTGGACTAGGGTGGGGAGATTCGAAATCACCCTCACGCACACACCTTGGGCTAACAAAGTACCAGGCCAAGCTTCCACTTCCATCTAGTTTGTCCTGGGCGTGGTCTCCAGGGTCCCACAGTTACAGCCCCTTTCGTCTGCACTGAGGCCCCAAGTTCAGCATCTTTGGTCACTGCAAAAGCCAATCTGGCCTCACAGTACCTTTCCCCCAATAACTAGTACAGGTTGTTCCACTAACGGCCAGAAAAGCAGGGAATGACCACTGGGCTTCTCACCACCAGGGGCCCAGTAAATATGCCACCATCGTCACCTGCCCAGATTTGAGGTTACACCCGCCTTGTTGTGGCCCAGGCCTTGGTCCTCACTGTCCCCCATCCAGGAGCATTAGCCTGCTCTACACTTAACTCCAGACTGCTGTTACTTTGGCTGTAGCTGCTCACCTCAGGCAGGAGAATTCATCAAATATAAATTTATTGGCTCTCGGTTCCAGAGGTAAGAAACTCAAGGTGCTAACTGGTTTGACAACTCTTGATGCCAAGACAGCATCTTGAATGACACCTCTGCATCCCTTTCATGGTGGCATTTATCCCACTCGTGAACCTGCCAGAAGAAACCATCCTCTGTGGGAGTGTTAGAAAACATGGAGGTACAATAATCAGAAGTGCCCGTGACCACCCTAGGTTTTATTTGAAGATTGTATTGTTCCCCAGCATTTCAATGTCCTGAATCAAGGACCAGGAGACAGGATTCCCCTGGGGCCCACTGAAAGTGACTTTCTCCAGAGCTTCCTGGTAACAATGTAGTGTGGTTGACACCTTAGTCTTCATACGGATGACCTGAGCAGAGAACTCAGCCTCACTTGTGTTGGAGTTCTGACCTAAGAACTAAAAGGCAGAGGTGGAAGACACACACTCTGGAGCAGTTTATTATCAACAGTAGATAACAACAGATGGAGCAGTGGATCTAGGTTTTGAGTCACGGTTACTTAGTGTCTCCCTATCATTTAGAAATGATATTTTTTTTTATTCCTTATTTTTTTTCCATGGGCTTCATTTCATTATGTGTTTACAGGTTTACCCTGCCTAGTCTGAAAATCTAAAGTCAAAGTTTTAAATCTTGGAGCATGTTGGATTTTCTGATCAAGATGCGCAGCCTGTAAAGTCTACACAAGTAAAATTAGAAACACTGCTGGTCCCAAGCATTTTAGGTAATGATGTGCAGATATAATTTTGACCTGCCGTGGCAGACAGGGGTCCACCTGGGCAGTTTTTCCCACTGCCCAGACACAGCTGCCCACCACAAGGACACCTCCTGAGAGGCATAGTTCTTGGTGAACCTAAACTGCCCACGATGGTGTATACTTTGTTGTTAATGCCCCAGCACCATTTCAAGGGAAGACATAACCTATTGTCTCTGCACCCATATATATTCAGGAGGTCCCCAGGTCCCGTGGAAAACCTGACCTGGTACCCCCGTTGACATTCCACTTGCCAGCCTCCCCACCAGCAGCCAATGCCAGGCCTGGCTGAGCAGAGGACACTTGCTTGTTTCAGGAGCAAGTGACCCTTGACTACTTCTCCTAGGAGGAGTAGGGGCAACTGGAGCTTGCCTAGAGGACTCTGCTGTGATGTGATGCTGGAGACCTTCAGGCTTCTGTTCCTGTGGGTAAAGCCACACCCATGGCCCTGATGGTCTTCTCATAGCATGGGTTCAAATTCTCCTGGGTTAAAGATGGAAGGTGGGCTCTACTTTAAGAGCAAATACCTGGGCTGTGTCTTGGGCTTCCAGAACTTGAACATTGTAGCGTAGGAAACATTAGATATGATCCATATTAGTAAGTCCCAAACCCAAAAGCAGAGAAACACAGGGTGGAGGAGACATACTGAGCCCTGTTTGTAAGAACCCCAGAATAGACTGAGGTCTTCCAGGGTGTTCTCCGGAACCACCCCCCGACCCCTGCGCTCCTATTCTTTGCCTTTTTTTTTTTTCCTTCTTTCTATATATCTCTGTTGTAGTCTGTTCAGGCTGTTGTAACAGAGGACCTTAGACTGGATAATTTATAAGCATTAAAAATGTGTTACTCAGTGGCATTCCAGGTCCTGACAGACAACAACCATTCATGTTCAAACAGCGGCCTATCACCAGGTCCTTCACAGATGACCAGCGTGGGAGAGGGCCACAACAGAGATCCTGCTGCAGCAACAACCCACTCTCACACACTGTGTTAGCTTCCTGATGCTGCTATAACGAATTACCACAAAGCTTCTGGCTTACACCAGAGTGCATTCTGCACATCAGGAAATGGGTCTTCTGGCTGTAATCAGCATGTCCTCAGGGCGGGTTTCCTTCAGGAGGCTGCAGGGAAGAATCCACTGTACTGCACTTTCCATCTTTAAGAGGCTGCCCACGTTCCCTGGCTTTGCCCTAACTGACCTGCGTCTCTCTCCACATCTAAGGACCCTGGTGACTTGGGCCAGCTGGGTGATCCAGGGTAGTCTATCATCATGTCACGTTTAGCAACAGTATTTGCCCCTTGCCGTATACGGTAACAGCATATGCACTCTGGGGTCGTGACATGGACATCTTTGGGAGCTATTACTCAGCTACACCAGCTTGGCCTTGTTCCGGTGGAGAGTCACGTGATCATGGGGATCATGCCTTGTCACCCCTCTAGGTCATTACAGTGTCAGAGGCACTAGGTTTGGGCAGCCGGAAAGAACACCAGATTTGAAGGACTGCTCTGTGCAGCCTGTCTAGTGTCTTCTGGCTAGCACAGCACTGTTGTGCCACCTCACTCAGGTGGAAAGGAACCATCATGTCACCCACCCGAAGGCAGCTGCCGTGTCCCTCACTTGCAGGAGGGACAAATGGCCTAGGTATTACTGTGCTCTGCCGCGGTTTTTTCTGCTGCTCACTGACTGGGAACTCTGAGGGCAGGAGCTTCTGCCCAAACCTAGTGCCTCTGTGGGCATCTGGGGACGTGTTTCCCCAGCACTGTTTTCCCCGCCCTTCTCTACTCCCCTAGAAAATTCCAGCCATACCTGATACCAATCCCCACCCCTTCTCCTTTTCTGGTTCACATTTAAAACCTTGTTTGTTTTAAGCCATGTTTTTAAAGACATCAGCTTAATTCTTCTGTCTCTCCCTCGCAAACCACAACCTCTTCCCCCAGAACAGGGATTAAGAGACATTTCCGTTTCTTTCAGACAAGACACCCAACTCTCAGCCCCAAAACAAGCTATCTCAAGAACTGTTCCACGGTGCTGTTCTGGTGGAAAGATTCTGTGGGGTGTCTTGTGGCCCAGGGGCAAGGACGCAGAGGGTACCTGGAGGTGGCAGCATGGATGCCTTGTGAGCCCCAGCATGCAGACAGCCCCTGTGCCAGTAAAGACACCCACACACCCGGGAGGAGCAGGGGAATGTGGGGGACACGTGTAAAAAAGGAGAAGGTAGACACCAAGGTGAGTGCTCAACAGAACACCTGCACAAAGGAGAAATTCTGTAAATGCCAGGAGTGTGGAAAGGCCTTCAGCCACAGCTCAGCACTCGTCGAACACCACCAAATGCACACAGGAGAGAGACCTTCTGAGTGTCCCGTGTGTGGAAAAGGCTTCCGAAACAGCTCAGCACTTTCCAAACACCGGAGGATCCACACTGGGGAGAAGCCCTACAGGTGTGCTCATTGTGGAAGGACCTTCAACCAGACTGCCCCGCTCATCCAGCACCAGAGGACACACACAGGCGAGAAGCCTTACGCGTGCGGCGAGTGCGGCAAGGCCTTCAGCTTCAGGTCTTCCTTCAGCCAGCATGAGCGCACGCACACGGGCGAGAAGCCTTACACGTGCCGGGACTGCGGCAAGGCCTTCCGGCAGAGCACCCACCTCACCCAGCACCTGCGTACACACACCGGGGAGCGGCCCTACCACTGCGGGGACTGCGGCAGGGCCTTCGGCCACAGCTCGTCCCTCACTAAGCACCAGCGCATTCATTCAGGCGAGAAGCCCTATGCGTGCCGCGAGTGCGGCAGGGCCTTCACCCAGATCACACCGCTCATCCAGCACCAGAGGACACACACCGGGGAGAAGCCCTACGAGTGCGGGGAGTGCGGCAGGGCCTTCGGCCAGAGCACACTCCTGACTGAGCACCGGCGGATCCACACCAAGGAGAAGCCCTATGGGTGCCACGAGTGTGGAAAGACCTTCAGCCACAGCTCCTCACTGAGCCAGCATGAGCGCACGCACACGGGCGAGAAACCCTACGAGTGCACGGACTGCGGCAAGGCCTTCCGGCAGAGCACCCACCTCACACAGCACCAGAGGACACACACCGGGGAGAAGCCCTACGAGTGCGGTGAGTGCGGCAGGGCCTTCGGCCACCGCTCGTCCCTCACCAAGCACCAGAGGACTCACACTGGGTAGGCCCACTCACGTGCGCCAAAGACACGGGGACCTTGTAAGCCATAGTTCATTGTAGTAGCCTTCTCTCTCACACACATCACACTTGTCAGGCTGTCAGACACGCTCGGCATCCACGTTGACAGAAAGGGTCTAAACAGCAGACAAATGTGAAGATAACACTAAGGAACTTGCCATTAATGTTACATTAGCGAACCTGGAAATGGGAACCAACAGATGCAGTGAGTCTGGTGGCTTCTGTCCAGTCTTCACCATATTGTAAAGAGTTCAAAGTGGGAAGAATATACCATACGCTTTTCACATTAAAAAATGTCAGAATTTGCTTGTAGTGCACACTCTTCTCCAGGGTGGGAGGTGTTTATAAATGGCTCAAGTTGACTGACATTCCTAAAAAGCAATTTGGCAGTGTGTTCCACAAATGAGTGGCATCTACATAAACACCATGGATACATGACTGTCTCAGCACAAAGCTGTTTGTGTGCGATCTGTCCCATCAGGATATGTGGCCACCAGTCCCAGAGATCTGAACTTCATGTGACACCATACCAGCATGCTATATATAGAATGTAAATGTGTTATCTCCTAATCATTTTGCAGTAAGTTAATTTCTTTGTTTGTTTGTTTGTTTTTGAGACAGGGCCTCACTATGTAGTTGAGACTGACCTGGAACTCATTATTTAGCCCAGGCTGGTCTCGAACTCAGCAATCCTCTGAATATACCATACGCTTTTCACATTAAAAAATGTCAGAATTTGCTTGTAGTGCACACTCTTCTCCAGGGTGGGAGGTGTTTATAAATGGCTCAAGTTGACTGACATTCCTAAAAAGCAATTTGGCAGTGTGTTCCACAAATGAGTGGCATCTACATAAACACCATGGATACATGACTGTCTCAGCACAAAGCTGTTTGTGTGCGATCTGTCCCATCAGGATATGTGGCCACCAGTCCCAGAGATCTGAACTTCATGTGACACCATACCAGCATGCTATATATAGAATGTAAATGTGTTATCTCCTAATCATTTTGCAGTAAGTTAATTTCTTTGTTTGTTTGTTTGTTTTTGAGACAGGGCCTCACTATGTAGTTGAGACTGACCTGGAACTCATTATTTAGCCCAGGCTGGTCTCGAACTCACAGCAATCCTCCTGCCTCATCCTCCCCAGTGCTGGGATTACAGGCGTGTGGGACCATGCCCAGCTGCAGTAAGTTAATTTCTATGCACAGTGAGGTTGAAAAGGTTTCTATAGGAAGACTAGGAACAAATCAACTTCCAAGGAATCTCAGATTCTGAGGTGGCTTTTGTCACATTGTTCTATGAGTTTCATTACAGAACTCAGGCATTAAAGACACAGATGCTTCTGTACACAAAGAGGGATATAAGCCATTATCTCACCCTATATTTTGCAAGATTTCTCTTGGAAACTGTATAAGTTAATCCTTTCCTAAACTGGTTTTTCATTGATTCTTCACTTCAGTGTTGAGTAAGCTTTTGTTTTGTTTTCATATCTAACTTGAAAGTCTGAGCCAGGGATTTAGCTCAGTGGCACCCTGCCTGGCAAGCACAAGGTCCTGAGTTCAATATCTGGTACCAGTGGGGGGAAAAAACTTGAAAGTCCACAGTAATTCATTGAACCCTGAATCTCCAAATAGCAGCCTCCTTGACTACAACAGCTTAATCGGTAGTGATTTGCCTCCCTCTTCACTGGCTCCTTTTGTCTTCAACTGTCAGTCGTGCCTTAAGTAAGTTTAATTTTCCTAATCAATGCTGGCATACTATAACTTTCTAATTGACTGGAAATTTATCTCTTGGGACTACGTTGCAAATAGTCTTCCAGTACAGTTTCTTGGTGGGCTTCTGGAATGCCTTTTTGGAGTTAGTTTCATTGTCACTTTAAAAATAAGAGAGTCAGGGTAAATTGTGTATGGCAAACGAGGAAGAATGCAAGGTGCCTGGGTGAGGTTTAGTACTGGATTAGTCCCATTTGAAAACCAGGAGCAGGTAAAGTTTAATGTTTACCCCCAATATAGGTCACATGTTCTGTTTTGACATGTCAATAGAAAAATATTATTCCACTGACTGCATTCTGTGCACCGCATCTTTGAAATCTAGCGTGCACTTTACACTTGGAGTACATCTCTACTGTAGCTCACCCAACACACGTGGCCACCTAGAGCAGTAGGGCAGTGTGGTTCAGTTGCTTTGATCCTTTGAGCAGTTGTCTTGATCTCCTTTTGCTGCATGAGTCCGACTCCCTTTTCTCCATGTTTTTAGCTTTGGGTAGATGTGCTGGGAGACCAGATGCTATATGTGGCACGCTGGCTTCTACTCCTAGATCCAGTGTAGAAATCTGTAGTATTTCAGAAACCTGAGTCCATTCCATTAATAAAGACAGCAAAAGTGCATGCTGGCTCACAGCAGAATGCCAGAGGGCAGCTGGCAAGCAAGGGAGGGCCGGGGTTGGAAAAATAATCACTTTGTAACCACTATACAGAAGACTGATTCAGGCAAGAATTATCCGTGAAGGCTAAATATAGAGGCAGGTGTGTTTTTTTGTTTGTTTGTTTGTTTGTTTTTTTTGTACCAGGGACCGAACTTGGGACCTTGCACTTGTGAGGCAGGTGGCAGAACCACTGAGCTAAATCCCCAACCCTAGAGGCAGAATTTTGATGAAGAGGATACTTGCATGAGCTTAAAGTATCTTGCCACAGATTGCTTAGTAGCTGAAAAGACAGAGCAACTGGTAGAGAACTGGAACATTGACCAGGTAAGCAAATGAAGCATCAGAACAGGTGGGATCTGGGTGCTGCAGCCCTAGGTGGCAGGCAGCGGGGTTCACGCAGGTGTTAGGAATAGGCACGTCAGCACTAGCAAGGTGCACATCCTTCGTGCTCTTTTCATTTTTGTTCCTTTTCTATGAGGAACTTATTTCTAAAGTTTTATGAATAGTATAAACAAAACCAGGTATCTTGATACACACTAGTACTCTGGGAGGCTGAGGCAGTTGGATCATAAGTCCAAGCCCAGCCTGGGCAACTGAGCAACTTGGTGAGATCCCATCTCAAATTAAAAAGGGCTGGAAAAAAAATAAACCAGGGCTGGTAGCTTAATGTGAATGTTGTGGGTTCAATATCCAGTACTGAAAAAAAAAAAAAGTGTAAATAAAAAGCAGACATCTAGCAGTGTGCTAAATGTGACAGGAGAACAGAAACAAGAGATGGAGTGTTGGGCTTTACGGTAGGTAATGAAAGATTCGTGTGGCTCCACTGTGGGATGTCACAAGGAAATCAGTGGCAGTGGGAGAAGGTAAGCTGGCAGGTTACCGTGGGAATTTTAGTTGAGAGGGCACATTTAGGCTTTTTCTTATCAGAACCCACTCTGCTTGGGTTCAGGGGTGAACAGGCCAATAAGGGAATTTAACGTAGAAACTGGCAGAGACACACACCTCCGTAGACCAAACACAGCCCTGCACAAGCCATGGGATCCTTTCTCTCCAAGAACACAGTACAGATGAGTGAATGGGGAATTTTCCACATACCTCCAGGGTCTGTGGACAGCAGAACTCCAAAACAGATGGAGTCATATTCCTGAGTTACTGCAGGAAGCAGAACACCCCTCCTACTCACACACAAGCAACACAAGGGCCACAAAAAGAGACTGTAATGTGAGTGAAGAAATAAATACTTTATTATGTTAAGCCTCAGTGATTTGTGGGTTGTCACACAGAATGCCTGCTCAGTGACAGAAAGAGGCACCGACTTTTGTATCTAGAGGGAGCAACTCAGTGTTCAGGCAACAGAATCAATGCCGCAATCAGGATCAATGTAAAACCAAAAGATCACCTTATGGAGCCCAAGGAGTTTAGTTACCATTGCTCAGGCAGACAGATGTCTTCATCAACCTTTATTAGTATTTTCAACCCATTTTTATCTCAGCCCCCTAATAAATACACCTTCATATTTAGATACATAGCTGAAAAGTTTCACAAAACAGTATATGCCTTCACTACACAATGCATTCTGACCTATTCTACTCTACTTTGTTGCTTTGTAAAGCCAGTGGCCATCCACTGATTTGATTTTACAATTCACTAACGGGCTGGAGCCAACAGTTTGAAAACTGTTACAGGCTCCAAGCATTTGGGGATCTTTCCAGCCACTCTACACAAGTAAAGACACATGAGTTAAACTAGGAAACAGTTTCCACTTTTGAGGATTCAGAGATGAACTTGACATCGTACATGTATAAAAATGACAAAACATCTGTCAAGAATTCTTGAACAAACTTAGCTCAAAGAAAAGGAGCAGTCAAGGCAAAGATGACTAGCAAAGCGCCAACAATCACACACTGTAAGGCAACTCTACACTCTGTCAAATGACCCCACATGGGGTGGTGCTGAAGTGAATGGAAGAAAGCAGCTTACACTCTGTGAGCATCTTCCCAGGGTGTTTCTGGAGGGGAGGGAGTTTCCCTCAGGACTCTCCACTTTTAAGTGCTTTAGTCAACCTTAGGAGAGTGATTATCTAAAGACATCACAGGAAACCTCCAAGGGCACACTTCAGGATTCACGGCCAGGCCAAACTCATCTCATGGGATGCTCATAACACCCTCCGCACACACAGAGCTGCAGTCTTCCCCACGTGGGCTCCAGGCCTCTTCCTCTTCCTCGAGGGCCCCAGTGCTCAGTGGCCAGGCCCAAGTGTTCCTAGCAGTCAGGGCAGGCGCGGTGCTTCTTGCTGCTGTGGCTGCTGTGGTGCTCAGCAAGGTGGGCGATCCATGCAAAGGCTTCCCCGCACTCACTGCAGGGATACGGCTGCCCGCGGCCAGCTCCAGCCTCAACCATTGCGGGGCTGGCTGCTGAGGACGGGCCTGGGGCCTGGTCCTGCTCCACTGGGGTCCCGAAGTCTTCTGGGGCCAGCTCCTTCCCCGCACTGCTGGAGACACACTCAGGACCCTCCTCCCTTCCGCCCTCCTCCTCCTCCTCGTCCTCTGGGTGGGGCCTCTTTGTTCCAGCACCTGGCTGCAGGCTGGCCAGCCCCACTGCATCCTTGTCCTGCTCTTCCAGTGGTGGTATGGCTCCCCGCTTAGAGTCCTCCTCTCCCTGGTCATCCGGAACCTTCTCAGGCTGTGCTTCCTCCTGGGCCACGTCCCCTGAAGGGCTCACGGGAGCATCCTCAGCAAGCCCGTCTGTGAGCACCTCACGCCCAGACACGTCCTCACACGTATCCCCTTCGCTTTCCTGATGCGCCCCGTCACCTGCAATGGGTCAGAATGTGAGCAACCCTGGCGCTTAGGGCCCAAGACACGGAAGCTGCTTCCAGCACAGAACTGGTGAGAGTACGGCCAAAACCTGAGCAGGCGGAGCAGGAACTCAGAAGAGAACAACGACCCTCTTCCCAACTCTACCGAGACCGCACTGCGGCCAAGTGCGGTGTCACAGCCCGGCTGGCTTGGAAGGTGGCCCCTTCCCCAGTCCGTTTCCCCTTTTCAGCAGCCCCTGCGTCACTGAGTCTCACTCCCAGCCTGCCTTGCAGCCACGGTGGCCATGCAGCCATCAGCACAAGTGTGAGGGCTGGGCAGCATTGTCCTTCCCACCTCAGTGGGCTGAGACCTGAGCGGCCACCCTGCACCAGGAGGTGACATGACACCGGACAGTCACGAGATGGAGCCCCCCTCTGTCACCAAGAAGAACCAAGTCAGCCCGTGGGGTGAACCAGCTGGTTACACCCCTGCCTCCCCCAAGTGACCTATTAGAAAATAGGACATTAGCATTCAAAAAGGTGCCAAGAGGCTGGTGTGTGCCTCCCTCCTGGACCCAGTCACAACCCCCTGTCCCTGAGGAAGCTAGGGCAGCCCGAGAGGCCTCTGTCGCCTCAGCCGAGCTGCCTGAGAAGAGCACAGCAATGGGCAGTGTGTGACTGAGGCCACCTGGTCCTTCCAGTGCTGGTCAGGTCCCTAGAAGATTACGACACCCCCAAGGACAGCATAAAGCTATACAGCCACACAGGTGAGCCAGTCAACCCACGGACACTTGCTCTGCTGTTCCACTGAGGGTCCCAGCTTTAGGATGGCTGGTCGTGCAGCAAGAGATCAGGAAATAACAATACTGCTGCCTTCTGCTCTAATGCAGAGGGTGGGATGACCCAGCCCTCACCTGGCCGCCCTTCCCTGCAGCAACTCCCACTGATCTCACCTGGGCCACTGTCTTCTGGCAGGTCCAGGTCCTCCAATCCAGCCTCCCCAGTCTCCAGCCTAGGAACAGTATCAGGCTGAGAAAGCTGATATCCTGAGGAAGTGAAGAGCACCACCAAAGCTGGAGGAAGCAGCGGACAGTCTCCCGTGCCCTCTACACCAAGCCCCACCGCAGCTGCCCTCCGTCAGAGCCCTGAAGCCCAGTGGTCCTGAGGGTGAGGCAGCAGAGACCAAGAAGAGGGTCTGCCTGGATGAGGCTGGGAAGCTGTGGGGAATGGGGAGATGCGGAGCCAGGGACAGCAAGTCACTGACCACCGTGTGGAATAGGGCGCACAGTGTTAGCTTAGCCAGTGCGGGACAGTGGACCCCACTCCCAGCACCAACCAACCATGTAATGACAACTATAAAGAGCTCGGTCTGTTGGCCTCCCTACCAAGGAGGGTAACAACGTCTACCAGGCTAGCAGGAAAAGCCGTCTGCCACAGGTAGGGTGACAGGCAGCAGTGATGTGGCCCAGTGGATCTCCAAGGCCAGATTGCGAGGGTGAGCTGGGACCTCAGCAAAGGATCCAACATATTCAAGTTCAAACACACAGGAGACACCCTTGTTGTCCACCCAGCCCTGGGACTAGGGGTGCAGCATGGCCGGAAGGAGCCTCACCCCAGAGGAGCAGCTTCCTGTAGCTCTGCAGGTTCTCCTCTGCGGGATCCAGGTGACCCCACTCCACCAAGGGCAGGGGCTCCTCTGAGAACGACTTTGGCTTCTAGAACAGCAAGGCAGGCAGAGCTAAGGCCTGCACCCTCTCTGAGGGACCCGTGGACGGACCCTCAACCACCCACACCTCTGACCCGTCGCACAAGCCACTCCCTCCTGCAGGTCGACCCATAGGGTCCCAGGGAAGCACAGTGCCGGGTCCCAGGGCCCACAGTGGCCCCACCTACCTCCAGCTCAGTTTTGGCAGAGTCAGCCTCCCCGGACTTTTCTCCCCCAACACTCCCCTGTTCCAGAAGCATGGACTCCAGGGCAGGCCAGGCTGGAAGGAGGGAAGGCAGCTCTGAGGAGACAAGTTCTTTGTGGCTCAGAATCTCAAAATAGTAGGCAGACCCCATTCCCTCGCCACAGCGGCCCAGCTGGCCCCTCACTGCAGGTCATAGACAGTGTCTGTCTGCAATTTACAGAGCAGAGTGGCCACAAAAAGCAAAAAAAAAAAGGAAGTTCAGGCTCCACAAAGGCCCCAGAGATGCCAATCCCAGCCAGGAAAGAGGGACACTCGGTAAAGCGCTGGCACTGATGTGGGCAGGTGGGCAACTTCCTATGCCAACACTGTAGCTACAAAACTTTGGGAACCGCTTGAGTTTCTGCCATACATAAATGGCAGTGGCTTGAGGGACCCATCCTCAGCACACAAAAACTTCACATGCAGCACCCAGCCAGGGCACCCTGCAGCCTGCTCAGGACGGAAGGCTGGGCTCCAGGAACCACAAGTCAGCCACCGCCCAGAATCTGCCCCTGCACAGCAAGCACTGGGTACAGGCTCACAATTCCCCAGCCCCTGCACACACACACACAGTGCAGACTCACAACTTCCTTTCCAGAGGGTACAAGGAGTGGGAGACTACTTTCCTCGTTACATGTCAATGCTTTTTCACCATCAGTGGAAAACACGTATGACCAAGCCCTTTCATAAGAGGAACTTCACTAAAATCAGCACATATGAGAGGCAGAAACCACGGGGACAGGCCACCTGGAGCATGCGCCCTGCCCCTACCTCCCCACCAAAGGCACCGCCCCCAGCTCAGCTAGGTGTCAGGGGCCCCAGACGCACCCAGCCCACCTGGCAATAGCAGTGGGTCTGAGCGCCGCTCACACGCTCCCTCGCCGAGCTCAGAGGATGACCCCCCAGGGGAACACAGCAGCATCCCTGTTCACAACCAAGGGAACAAAGACATGGAAGCAGGAGGCCCCGGGTTCCCAGGCCCCATTACCACCCATCCCTCAGACCCACTCCTTACCCACAGAGGAAACCTGCACTCAGCAATATACCTACAATGTGTTCCCAGTTTTTAAGAGACTAATCCCTGCCTTTGGCTGTCCCCCATTTTGTCTCCTTCCGAACATCTGGAAAACAGATGCAAGGGCAAGAGCCCAAGCAGCTGTTCTGGCTCAAGAGGCAACCCTAAGGAAGAGGCCACTGGGCAGACTGGTCAGGGCCTGGACTACTCCCCTCTGTACTTCTTACACACAGGAAAACTAAACTCTCATGACACCCAGTGCTGTGGATTCCAATCCTTCTGGGCCCTCCTCCCTGCTTCCTCTTGGGCAGGCTCTTCTGGGATGGCAGCTTCACCTGGCTCATCCAGGACATCCGAGAGGCCTTCCACCAGGGAAGCTGCCTTCTTGCAGTTCTCAGGATACTGGGCCACCACCCAGGGGCGGACCCTGTCAGGTAGGATGCCCAGGAACTGCTCCAGCACCAGCATCTCCAGGATCTCCTCCTTGGAGCAGGACTCAGGCCGCAGCCACTGTCGGCACAGTTCATGGAGCCGGGCCAGGGTCTGGTGCGGCCCTGCTGCTTCCTGGTAGGCAAATTCGCGGAAGCGCAGGCGGGAGAACTCAAGGTCCACAGGGGTCCTCTCACAGCCAGTCCCAGCATCAGCATCAACATCGGCTGCGTCAGGATCAACCTCAGCCGTGAGGGCATCAACCTCGGCAGCATCGGCCTGGACCTCAACACTATCGGCCTGGATCTCGGCATCGACTTCAAACTCCGCAGCATCGGCCTGGACCTCGGCATCGATTTCATCCTTGGCAGCATCGGTCTGGACCTCGGCCCTGTTGGCACTGACCTCAGCCTCATCGGCATCAACCTCACCCACACCGGTATTGACTTCGGCATCAACATCAACCTCTGCAGCATCGGCAGGGACCTCAGCGGCACCAGTACTGACCTCAGCTGCATCGGCATCGACCTTGGCCACGCCCTCACGAACCTCAGCAATGGCCTCAGCCTCGGTCGCAGCAGTGACCCTGGCCTCAAGCTTGGCATCAGCTTCAGCCTCAGGTTCCCCCTGCTGGGCTGCATCTTCTGAGCCTAGCATGAGTGGTTCAGGAGGTGTTGGGGGGCTCCTAGGAGAGGCCACAACCTTCTCAAGAGGCAGCATCTTGCCAGGCCTGCACTGGAAATGTGACCGTCTAGCCAAGGGCAGAGCAGAGATGCCCAGATGAGAGGTGCCAGGGGAGGTCAGCCGGTGCCAGGACCTGCAGGGGACAGCACCAAGACAGACGCCACACAGTGAGCACAGACGAGTACAGGGGTCTCTCCGCCCGGCCGTGGGCCCACCAGACCCAGAATTCCAGCTTCGTTCTTGTACAGATAAAAGTTAACATGAACACAAAAAGCAAAGCATTCAGTAGGAGTAGTATTACCACAATTTTCTTTAAAATGTCAGAACATAATGAGAAATATAATGAGGCAACCTCAATTACAAACCAAAGGAAAAAGCCTTAAAACATCATAAACTCACCCCGTACGTGCATGTAACATGCATACATGTAAGTCGCATCATAGCAGACTCAGGTTTGTCCCAGAAATAATAATGACTGTTTCACATTTTAAAACGTGCCCTATGCAGACTTCAGTTCCCAATGACATGGAAGGACTAGGTGTCAAGTTGTCCCTCCCTTTAAACCACCGAAGACCTGAACTACAGTTTGAATTTAGGAAAAGGAGTGGCAGGGCCCCTCTGAAGCCAGGTACACAACCTACACCTACTTCTGAAAATAGGAGGCCTGCAGACCTGGGCTGACCCATCCACAAAATCAGTGTGGAGGAATCAGGAGTCGCTGGGGTGGGGGAGACAGGACATGGAGGAAACCGCAAGGAGGGAGAACACAGGTCACAGCCAGCCCTCCACTCACCCCAGCTAAATCCTGTGGGCATGAAGGCGCCACCTGCAAGACACGTACCACTCGAGAAGACTCAGGACTCAGGACATTCAGCTGAAGTGTTACTAAATAGACCAGGCAGCCACAGCCGACCTCAGGCCTATGAGGTTCACAAATGGCTCCTTTGGGGACCTGCAGGGCCAGCAGCGGGGGAAGACTTCCATACACCATGGGAGCAAGCAGAAAGCCACAACTGAACCCAAGGCAAGCACTGCTCTTTGGGGAACCACAGAAAGAAAACACTTTTTCTTCCATAGTTTTGAGGAATCCAAGAAAATCTCTGCATGACCACAGCTGCCTTGAGAATGTGTTCTGAGCAACCCCACTTTTATAAAGCTGTTGAAGTGAGCCGATATGGAAGAAGGCACTGCTGACTAGTCCTGGGTGCAGGTGGGGTCTGTGCTGACATTCTCCACCAACACCCGGGGTGCCAGGACCTTGGGGCTGGGAGGTGAAATGAAATGCCCAGAGCAGGCAAATCTAGAGGGAAGAAAGCGATCTGTGCTGCTAACTACGGGGATGGGGACCAACACTACATTAGGCTATTTCTTTTTGGCATGACGAAAATGTTCTAAAATTAACTATGGTAGTGGTGGCACAACTCTGAATATACAAAAACCTAACAAACTGTCCTTTTTACAGAGGGAAACTTTATGGCATATGAATTATATCTCGATAAAGTTGTTTTTGAAAATGTTGGCAGAGACTCGACTTTCAAATGTTTCCTACTCTCTCTGTGGCTAGTAAGGCAGGGGTCAGAGGCAAGTGCAGAGATCTCAACACCTGGGAAGACATCCCACACAGGGTTCCATTTCCCGTAACCCACGCCACAATCACCACCACTGTCACAAGTGCCCTTTCACCGTCACTATCATCAGCACTGTCGTCGTAATTATCACACCATCTGCCACCACCACATCCCATAACCACTCATAACCGCCATCACCACCACCACTCTCACTGCCAACACCCGCCCTCTAATCCTGGCCACAACTCCCTCCTCCCAGCTGTCCCATCGCGTTTCCTTCATGCACCCTCCCCTGGCCCTGCCCCAGCCCACTCTCCGGTATGTTCTTACCTTCTGCAGGGCTGGGCTCTTTTAAGTGGTCTCTCCAGGACCCTTCCCTCCTCGCTCCCTGTACGCACGCTCTCCTACCCATCGCCACCTCTCCTCAGCCCCTCCACTTTTCAGCGCTTGCTCACTGCCTCCCTGCTGGACTGTGAGCTCAGGAGAGCAGGGCTTTCCTCTAGGCAGGTCTTGGCCGGGGCAGTGCCTAGCTCAGCGTGTGACTGTGTAAATTCTGCTTTTTGAAAGTACATCTGCTGAGGACAGGGTGGTGCCTAATGGCCTTATGGAACCTCACATCCATCTACCTGGAGTCGTGATACAGTTGGAAATTAAGTGGAATTCAATACCTGGGCCACAAGGTGTTATGGAAGCACCCAGAGGAGCCCCTTCCTTACACCCTGTCCCCGCCCCCACACACACACAAAGCACCTGCTGCTATCCACCCACTTCATACCTCAGTACTTTCTCACGAATTTTTCATCTGTGGGTAGCTGGATTACCTCGGTTGTTTCTCTTATAGCTGTCAGGTAATTACTGAGTTCTCCGACTCCATCATGCTTTTTACTTGCTGTTATCTTCTGACTACACCTGTTTCATATCAAACAGCCATTTGTAAAATAAATTTCTGAATTCAGAAGCCTGGTTAAAAAGGGTTTTCTTCCCTACCCTTCATTCATTCTCCTGAGGAAGGAACAGAAAATGCAGAGTCAGGCAGAAAAGGCAGACAGTCCTAGTGGCAGCCACTCGACTCTACCTTACTGACAGCAGGACTCTGCCAAGTTCCGACACATTTCACAACAGCCCCCTGACCAGGTTTGTTTGCCAATCTATCAGACTTTTAACTTTTTCAGACATGTTTTGTTTTCTGTCAGTACTAGTGATTAATCTTAGGGTCTTCACACTCAGGTACATCCCCAGTCCATTTCTGTTATTTTGAGACAGGAGCTCGATGAGTAGCTAAATTGCCTGGGCTGGGCTCAAACGTGTGACCCTCCTGCCTCAGCCTCCCAGTGCTGGCATGACAGCTTGTTTTGCTTCTGATTCAGCTGGCAAATCTCTTGGTGGAGTGGCAATGCCAGCTCTAGATGGTCATCAGACAAAAGACACACAGAGCTCTTCGTGGTCACGTGGGTAACTGCTCTTCTTAGCTGCCACAGGCCTGTGTGCCTACGAAGGGGGGCCACACAGGAGACTGTGCCCTCGCCCACCAGGCCATGCCTAGGCTCGTAATTCCTCTCCCCAGAGCTTCAACTACCTTGAGGTAGGGACCAGGAACAGCCCCAAGGAGCAGGTGAGGAAATAAGAGGCACAGAGCGGTGCTGTGCCCAGACTCCCCCACTCTGAGTGTGGAGATGGGGTGGGGCCCTCGGCCAGCAGCTGGACCATGTGAATAGGAAGCCATCTCCCAGATCCCGGCACAGGAGGGGCACCTCAGGTCTGGGGACCGGCAGGGCCATCTGCCTGCAGTGTTCGAGGACCCAGCCCACCCAAAGATACCCACAGCAGCTGTCGCTGAGAGCTGCCCCCTCAGGAAGCTGCTCACACCGGGAAGCAGCCTGTCTTCCATCACACCCCAGATCCCTCTGTCTTCCTTTCTACGTGGCCCAGTGTTGGAACCAGAGGAAACCAGGTCTTACCAGCCTCTTCTGACCCCACCCACCACTGGGCTACCAGGATGTCCCAGTCAGAACAAAGGACAAACCACCTTCAGTGAGCTACACTCTGGCACCCAAGTTCCTCCCTGCATGGAGCAAACAAGAGTCTGGCTTGGTCCAGGATTTGCCCTGGATTTTCCAGGGGCCCAGCTCCCTGGCCTCAGCAGATGGAGCCGTGTGGATGTGTCGCGAGCTGTTCTCATGAGGTGCAGTCACTGAGGCAAGGTCACGGTGGCAGGTGGGTAGCTGGGCTGAGCATCCCTGATCTGGTGGATCTCTGAACAAACGCCCTGCACAGAGCAGGGTACTCACAGGGCCTCCTCAGGATTCCACCCACCTCTGGGACCCTCTCCATAGACTCTTAGTTCCATTGAGCAAACCACTCCAGTTCTTCCTCCGGGTCCTGTAAACAAAATCCCACCACACCACTTCTCCAACCAGCATGGACACGGGGCCTGAGGTTCATCCCTGGACACAGCTCCCTGGGAAAGTAAAATACCCCAGCATCTCCCCTGGACTTTCCCACAGATCACTATGCGCTTAAGGGAAAAATGGCACAACCATAATCTCAGCACTTTAGGAGGTTGAGGCAGGAGGATCTCAAATTCAAGCCCAGCCTGGACATCCTACTTATGCAGCAAGACCCTGTCTCAAAATAAAGAATAAAAAAACCTCTGGAGATGTAGCACAGTGCAAAAGCCCCAAGTACAATCCCCAGTACCACAAACGAAAAGAAAAGAAAAACGAGCAGAGACAGGAGTGCATTCAGGAAACTGAGACAGGAAGATCTTAATTTTCAGGCCAACCTGAGCTACATATAGTGAGGCTCTTTAAAAAAAAACAAACAAGGACTGGCAATTTAGCTGCCTTGAAAGCGCAAGGACCCAAGTTCAATGCCGGGTACCAAAAAACAAAAATAAAAACAAAAACAAACTCCAATAAATAAGTGAAGTAGACTTTATGAATGAGGAATCATCATTAATGTCTCAACTGCCGCTGGGCATTATGGTGCACACCTGTAATCTCAGCATTCAGGAGGCTGAGGCAGGAGGATCACTTTGAGTTCAAGGCCAGCCTGGAATCCATAGTGAGTTCATGGCCAGCCTGAACTACATAATGAGACCCTGTCCCAAAAAAACAAAAAATGAATAAATAAAATAAAATCTCAGCTGCCATCACAGGTCCCTGCCAAGAACACTCTGTTCTGTCCTGAAGTCACATGGAACAGATGGATGCTCTGCACAACTGGCAAAGTCTCTCCAAAGTCTCAAGGTCAGCTTTGCCAAGGAAGCTACAAACCCAAGGACCAGGAGGAAAAAGAACTTGGTGCAATACAGACAGAAGAGGAGAGGTCACAGACACAGTCGGGATGGGGAAGAATGAAGGTAGATCCCAGGATGCTCTGGCGCCCACCCCTAAAGCACAGGGCGGACACAAAACCGGGAGAATGAAGTGGGGAGGGGGTGACGATGTCAGGAAAATGGCAAAATGCTAATGGGTGAGTGAGCAAAGGATACACAGGAGTTCCACAACCTTTTAGTCAGAGTTTTAAAATTTTACAAGGAAAAGCCAAGCCTCAGTGGTCCCTAGCAGCTCTGCCTTCCCTCTACCCGCAGCACCAGGGAAACAGACACATCCATTCCACTCCAAACCCTCGGGTCGGCACCAAGGCTGGGGTCCCACTCCTGCCTTCATTCTACCAAAAGGTATCCGGGTGGGAGGTGTACCCCTCCCCAGCAGAACGCCCTGCAGGAAGCAGAGCAGCTCCCCACCCCAGGACCCCTCACGCCTCCCCTACTGCAACTCCCATCCCAAGGCACCCTCAGTCGGGCCACTCAGGTACCCAGGAAGAGTGCCCCCCTCCCCAGCCTACATCAGGGGCCCGTTACCCACCGAAATCCCCTCATCTCTCCCTGGACAACGCTGGTCCTCTCCACTCTACCCCGACCCAGCAGCCCAGGGAGAGGCGATCATTCAGCCACACCACCACCGCCCAGACTGTATGCAGGGCTCCTGGCCCGTGTCCCCCCCACGCCCTCGCCAGGGTACCCCAGACCTCCCATCAACCTCACAGTGGGGTAAGGGACACCCCGGGGCCACATCCCACCCAAAGGCACTCAGACCTCCCTCCTATCCCCACACGGGGTGGGGTGGGGTGCGAGCGTCAAGGGCCATACTCCCACCGGAAGGTCCCCAGACCTACCCGTCCCCGGGCCGCACTCCCGCCCGAGGCCCCCAGACCTCTCCTCCGGTCCCC